CCAAGTAGGAGCATTCCGGAGACCATAGAGCACATCTTTCTACGATGTCCAGGTGCTGTTTTGCTATGGCGTTGGTGGGATAGGATTTGGACTGCCCTCGATAATCAGCTGACATGGCCATGGGACTGGAGAGCTCTATTATGTGAGACCTGGTCTCAGCCTCTGCTAGATGATTTCTCCCACAACCTTTTTAAAACAGGAAGGAGGGTCATTCTCTGGCCCCTCTGGAACCGTCGCTGTACTTTTGAAATGGAAGGAGCTAGGATTGACGGCCCTGAACTAACAGAATTAATCAAACTACAAGTGCAGACAGAAATCACAATCCAATGGCACAAGATTAAAGAGAAAATTCAATTCTTATCATCTAAAAAAGAAATCCTACAACACATTAAACAGTTTAGTGGCGCTTGGCTTGGGGGCCCTCAAGGAGGGAAGATTGGACAGATCCGAGAAGGTGGGGGAAGGAGAGGTATCAAGGAAGGGCAAGGAGAGGAAGTACATAGAGACTTCCGTCTGATATTTCATGACTGGACCAATGTAGACCCATCAATCCCTCTGCGCCCCTCCTCAGAGTTCCCAGACCCATTTCCCCCCTCCTCTCTATCTCTGGTCCCCTTGAGTTGGTATGGCTATGTCTGAAAAGGAGATGTTCGAGTGGAGATTTCCGGGTGATCTGGTCAGGTTGTCTACTAAGTTCTTCTGCAGGTGGTCATGGCAAAACAGCCTTTATCAGTATTTGTTACCCAAATTAGTACCAGGGCTAAGCTGAGAAATCTGGCGCCACTCAGATGAGGGTGAAGAGGTACAAGGGTCGCTGGGCCCGTTTCCCAGCACTATCTATTTCAATGGTTCACCATTACATGTCAAGGGACGCTGGACCCGCTTTCCAGCAGGTGCCGCTCCCCACTAATAGATTGGAGCCCCCAGTGAAACTGGTAGGAGTGCATGCTCTTATCATCACTCCTATCAGCAGTCACGAGGCGGTATTTTCCTATTAAAAAAAAAAAAAAAAAAAAAAAAAAAAAAGAGTTTTGTTTGGGAGTCTAGGGGAGGTGAGTAGTCATTCATAGTTTTTTAACCTCTCCTTTAATTCTCTTTAATTTCTTCAATAGTTAAAAAAAAAAAAAAAAAGGACACAGGTGTGGTGAGGCCCTAAACTCTACAAGCAACTTGTCAGAAATTGATCTCAGATTTCTGGCATTATGTACCAGACAGCTGTCCCTCGAAAATATCGGCGTATCTGTTTCATATAAGGACGAGGTGAACAGCCAGGCTTGCCAGAGTTTTTTTTTTTTTTTTTTTTTTTTTTAACTCATCCCTCCGGAAAGTAGTGGTTCTGGTAAGAGCAGACACGGCTAGCTTCCTCAGGGCAGACTCCATCTATTGGTGGGGAGTGTCACTTGCTGGAAACCGGGCCCAGCGTCCCATTACTTTTTTTTTTTTTTTTTCTTTTAGAGAACATCGACTACGGGTGTAGAACGGGTGCTGATAAAGAGCGGACACCCCTTCTACAGGCCCAGTTGTGGGATGGCTCCGTTCCATTGGTGGGGAGCTGCACCTGCTGGAAATCGGGTCCAGCGTCCCATTACGAAGGCTGCTTGAGATGAACTGGGGTGCAACCTGCCAGGCAACACAAGAAGCAGGCTTGCCAGAGTTGTAACATTTTCAGAAAGCATTGCCTATGTGCAGTTGAGCCAAATTCGACGCACTTGAATGGATGGTACAAAGCCCGCCACCTTTTCATACCAGGTCGTTTGAAGAACTTCCAGGACAGGATGATATAACCTACCATATGAAATTTCATCCAGCAGACGCGTTTTTGAACGTAACAGTTAATTGTTCGAGTGAGGGCACTGCCTGATGAACGTTACAAAAACGCCAGGGAGCCATGAATACCTTCAAGCCTTCAAGGCTATCTGGACAGATGTCCACCACAAAGTGTGTGATGTCACTGGGGACACATGGAAAAACTCTTTCTTTTTTTTTTTTGGAACAAAATCTCCAATCTATTTGTGGGGAGCAACACGTGCTGGGATGGACGAGTGTTTCCACGTCCATACTTTGATGTGGTTGATCTGTGAGATGTAAAACTCCGACTACATTATTTGAGTATAACGTGCTGGGAACCGGGCCCAGCGTCCATCATGAAAGTACAAAGAACATAGTATACCGGGCCCAGTACCCGGCTTAGACTGAGAGAAGTTTGATCAATGGAGAGAAAGTTCAGGGAAATATGAGGCCTGCTACTGACCTACTTGGAAGAAGATACTGCTGAATCGCCCACGACCAATGAACCTATATGGATACCCACTGAACCCAAGTGGAACAGGGCCACATGGAAAGACTCTTTTGAAAAAAAAACTCCACCTGGGTAACTGTTGGGGGTGATAAAAGTAGAGCCAACGGAGGTGGACCCTCAGAGTAAAGGACTGCATTTTCACACCCCTGACCAGCGACAACTTCCATGCGCTGACCCAGGCAGTACCGCACCTGCAACAATCCCATCTTCATAGACCAACACTTCCTACCTGAGGAGATAAAAGAAACCGGCCGTGGAAGCAGAGGCACAGGCTCTAAAACTGGAAGCACACCTGGGCCCACCAGGGACATGACCTAACTCACGCCCTCTTCACTCTCCCCCTCTCAGACTGCCATCCCCACTCCGCCCTTTTCCCAGCCACGCCCTGGTAGCTCGCTTCCCCCTGCTCCATCCCATCCCCAACAGCTCCCAAACAGTCCTCCCCTCACCCACCCACAGCAGCTCCCGAACAGCCCTCCCTTCACCCACCCACATCAGCTCCCGAACAGCCCTCCTCCACCCACCCCAGTTCCCCCACCTCTCAGTTCCCCCCACCACTCAGCCCCCGCTTCCCCCACACCTGCAACAGCTTGTGACCTTCACGAAAAGAAAGAAACAGTGTTCCAGCAGCAGAGTCTGACAGCATTGGCCCTGCAGCGATAACACAGGAAGCGGCAGGAGCACCAGGAGTGGTATCTCTCCAAATCTCACCTGACACAGGTGTCACGATGCAAACTACAAGGACGCAAGCAACACAAGGTCCTCTGCAGAACAGAAGGGTTAAGCTTACAAAAGCAGTATCATCAGCACCTCCCTCTCCCTAAAACTCTCACCTGAAATCGAACCAGACTCCAAGACTGAGACATCGACAGGTAACCATTGTTAACTGGGTGAATGGGGGAAGCAGAACAGTCAATCTGTTTCCAATTCTCTCAGTACTAGCAACCATGAGAGCTGTGTATTAGACATCAAAAGGGAAGTCGAGAAAGAAGATCAGACAATCCCTTGTGGCACTAGCCACTTAGCAAGGGGGGGACTGTTACAGGGCTTCCCTTCCCCAGTCCGTGGCCTTCCTTAGGGGGTTGCCCTTCTGGTTGGGAGGCTTGCTAGCAGCACCCAGTCACACAGTAGGGTAACCTCCAGGATGGCAGGACGCAAGGGGGGGTGGTTCCCTAACAGTTCCTCAGGCCACATAACAGCTGTCTTTATCCTGTTAGTACCTCATACAGTGCCTCATCCACCCGTATTACCATTCGGCTATGCCCACAACCTCGCCTATCCCCATTCAGACTGTTTCAAGCCCTAAATTCTTTTTCTTTTTTTTTGTGTTTTTCTTTCGCAAAAACCACCCGTGACATCAGATAGGAGTGATGGTAAGAGCATACTCTCCGACCTGACTTGCCGGGGACTCCGATCTATTGGTGGGGAGCTGCACCTGCTCGGAAACGGGTCCAGCGTCCCTTGGAATACAGTGACAAGGAATACAGTGACAAGATGATAGAACAGCACTTGCTGGGAACTGGGCCCAGCGTCCCATCTTTTTTTTTTTGTTGTTGGAATCACAAGTCCACTATCCTGGCGGTGGTAAGAGAACCGCTGGGATTGAGGCCTTGGCTGGTGGGCTGCTCCATCTATTGGTGGGGAGCGACACCTGCTGGAAACCGGGCCCAGCGTCCCTTGGAAACAACATTGTAGTACCATGTACATGGGCTATGGTCGTTATTCTTCCTGTCCGAGAGCTACTTTTTTCCTGGGGCTGCAAATGTGATGCCCCTCCCATTAGTAGAAACTCTCCTCAGTACCGACATAGCCCCATTCCTGGAAATGTCAAGCCGTTGATCTTGTCCTATTTGTCCCTTTTCTCTCTAGTCTTGCAGTGTTCCAGGAATCTGGAGCCCTTCCCTGACAAATTTTTCGTAGAGTTCCTTTAAAATTTATGGAAAAAATGCCTCTTCATCGTAGAACCAGGCCGCCACACGTGATCATGTAGCAATTAGCATCTTCCCTTTCTTACTTTCTGAGTACTGGAAAGCCCCAAGGTTGACATTTGGACCATTTATAGTATCGTGCCCACTTGGGCCATGTCATATTGTGGCTGCTGAAACCTTTTTTTTTTTTTTACTAAGTCTTTTTGTTTTTGAAAATATCTGGAAAGGCTTGAAAAACTATATGAGTGGGGGGCCAAAACTGAAACAACCTACTATCCAAAATTCCCCCTTCAACAGACGGAAGGTCTGCCAAATATCAAAACTCATTCCTCTCTCTCTCTCTCTCTCTCTCTCTCTCTCTCTCTCTCTCTCTCTCTCTCTCTCTCTCTC